CTATTGGAACTTTTCCATTTTGACTATGAGTACATGCTGTATAAGCAAAATATTACTAACCCCTCCTCTTAGAGTTAAAGGCAAATCCAACAGTAGTATTAAAGTTTTCATTATAAGAAAGTGAAGAAAAAAGTTACCATCATTTTCTCTGGAGAAAATATGCCTTTCACTGATGCCTTCAGAAAAAATAAGATCAATTCATTTCATTTTATAATCTACTTTTGTCAGTTTTATAAAGCACTGAGATCTAATGTTGTATTTTCATACATGCTGTAAGACAGATTGCATTCTCTGACTCCCTTGAACCTGCCCTGCCCTTCCTCTTCATGCCTTTCTCCCATCTATGGTAGTCTTCCTCCTACTCCTGTGCTGTCAGTTTACGTTCTACAAATTAATTAAAACATGCAACGTTCATCTTTGAGTCTGGCTTACTGCACCGAGCATGAGAGTCCTAATCCCATGCCTTTTGCTGAAAGTGGCGTGATTCTGCGCACCCTCGTGGCCGAGCTGCACTCCACTACACCTGGACGCCACAGCTGCCTTATCCACTCATCTGTCGGTGTGTACCCAGCTGACTTCGCTCTTCTCTGGCTTAGCTCTTTGTGGTACATAACGCACGCCTTCATGGTGGGGAGGTTACACACCCCTTTTATTTCCTCCCTTCCTCTTTGTCCTGCCTCCCACTATCCTTAGATCCTGTTCCCATCTCTTAAAGATCTACCTCCTTGCTTCTTAGCATACTCTTTTGTCTTTCCCCTTAAATTACTGACAATTTGCATTTCTCATATAAAAGAAACCATGAAATATTGAACTTACTGTGTTTAGTTCACTTCACATTGTGATTTTCAGGTATATCCTTTTCCCTCCAAACAACTTAAATTTATCCTTCACTCTGGCTGAGTAGAATACATTGTGTACTTACATGTATTGATGAATGTGTAGAATACCGCCGAGATTTAACTATTGTGATACTATTAAGATAGGTGTGCACTCATACTGTAATATGATGTTTCCATGAGATCAACATTGAACCTACTATTGAGTTTGACTTTGTTCTCAGCTAATTTGGTTTGAGAACAGAACTGTGTAAAGAATGAAGTCTGTGAATGGAGTATGTTAATTCTTCTCAGGAGACATCCAGGGCCAGGGTGTAGTCCTGGGCATAAGCACCTGCCTCACAAGTGCAAGGTCTTCAGTTTGAGCCCAACAAAGGAAGAGATACCTAGATACCTAGAAGAGGTGCCGTTAGCTCAAGTGAATCTCTATTTCCAGTTGTATGCTTTGTTTGGTGGTGTGCTGTGATGAGTCTTTGTTCTGATCTCCACGGCGGGTTGTACTAGTTTATAGCAGCATGCTAGTTCCACCATGTCAGCACTAGTTTGTGCGTGGGTGCGTGGGTACGTGAGCATATTTGTCTTGAGTTCTTGAGTCCAGTTGCTCTTCCTGGAGTTAGATGGCACCTCATTGTTGCCCTGATTTCCCTTTCTCCCTTTCACCATTAGGCCAATGATGCTAAACATTTTTCATGTTTTTATTAGCCACTTGGAATTCTTCCTTTAAAAAAAATGTATTTTGACTGAGATTTTTATCGGACATTGGATTTTTGGCCAAATACATCCAATTGTACTCTACTTCTATAAACAAATTGTTCTGTGTTTGTACATCTGTCTGTCTAATCTATAATCACTTATCATACTTACATCTGTTTTTGTTTGAACACAACAGTATTTTTCTTTTTGGCTTTTGGGAATTTTAAAACATTTTTCTATGATTTAAGTGGGTTAGAGAGATCAAAATAGTTAACAACATGCTTCTACCCATGTTGCCATCTGATCAAAATGATGTCAAGATTGGCTTTACAAATGCAATGCATATTGTTGTACAAGTACAGTGACTTGGAAAACTTTCATTGATCAAGAATCATGTTAATTGTTATGATCTAGTTGCATAGATCATCAAAAAATTTAAGATAATTAACTGGGACCCCTTAGTTTGGCAAGACTGCTTGGTGAAGAAAAGAAAAGCTGCCTGGAAATATTTCTTATAGTCATTGTTCACTAAAGGGACCCAATAATTTTCATAGCCTTATGGGAGATAAACCCCAATAAATGTTGCTAACCACATTATTGCAATGTGTTTACATTGCCATTGTCAAAAGAGTAAATTTTCTGTGGCTAAAACAATAATGTTTATTAAAAGATGCTCTTAATACAAAATTAAATTAAGAGACAAAGGTTTCCAGTAGCTATGATGTTAGGCAAAGGGATATTGCTCGCACCCCAGCTTTGTGGGCGGTCCAATATGCTCATGTCTCTATGCACCTTTATTCTCACATGATTCGTGTCAGCATCCCAGTGGGCAAAAAGGTGGGACACATTCAACAGTATTTATCTTTAAAAAGAATAGAAAATGGTAAAAGAAAAAAAATTAGAAATGATATAGAATTTCACTACACAAAATAAAAGGATTATTTATCTGCCTTTGCTGGTACAGGCGCCCCTCCTATAATAAAATATGATAGTGGACCCTTGTATGTCACCAAGGTCATACCTTCGTTCTTTCAACTTCGACACATTAAACATCTCACTGGTACTCCTTATAATTCACAGGGCCACGCCATAGTGGAGCATGCACATCTGCTTTTTAGAACACAAGTACAGAAACACAAAGCGAGAGCATGTTCACATCTCCAAGAACAGTTAGATCCTGTTATCTTTACCTCAAAGATTTTAAATTTATTTGTAGAAAATAAGTACTTCCCTCAGTGCTTCACTACAAAACAAAAACAAAAAACCAAATTGATGATGATGCCCAAGGCTTACGTCCCATGGAAAGACACTCAAATGGAAAAGAGGGGTGGCCCAGGGCAGTTAGTAACATGGCCAGGAAGGAGTGTTTGTGACATCAAACCACCTCTGATGCCCTCTCGGAGCATGTGACCATGGAGCAAAGACAGTTCCAGCGTTGTTCTAGAGTCTGCTGCTGCCAGGCCCAGACTCAACCATATTGGATATATTAATTTGTTTGTCTTCTGTTGTGTTGCTAGTCTGTAACAGGGGATGTCAAACTAGAAAACACCTACATGTGACCCAACCTCAAGTTACACTCTTTCAGCTTTTATAATTACAGAAATGAAAATGGAGAACTTTGGAGGACCAGGGGACCAGGCTATGTGACTGGCTGTCCTGTGGTGTTGAGGCTGGTGTGACTTGCTTTAGGAACACAGAAGGGAGCAGGAGGCCCATGCTTCCTGGAAGTTCAGGGAGAGCACAAGACCACAGCGCTCCTGAGGCAAGACAACTTCTGCTGAGGACGGAGCAAGGATGCAGGCATATCGACAGCATAAGAAGGTCTTGCTCTGCATTCTTTGTGCCTCCCTTGCTGCAGGGGCTGTTTCATGAAGCTTGCACTGCCCCTTCCCTTATTTCCCTACTGGTTAGTGTAAGTGGGCCATACTCAGAGACTACTGAGCCTGTGCACCAGAGGCAGGCCCTACCCCATCCCCTGTACCTTTAGTACTGTCTTTTGTCTTTCTTCACTCCCCCCTCTTCTCCCCAAGTATCTGGGAGTTGGATCAGCCTCAGGCATGCTCCTATGAGAGTCTAATGCTACCCTGAAGCAGACAGGAGGTAACATGCAAGTGATGATGTCACAGGGGGCAGTGGTCCAGAGCCCAGTGACACCCACCCTCTGCTTACCTCCTGGTAGAGAGGTCTGTTGTAGCCGTCACCAACTCATGAAAATGAAGTAGGAACTTTAATAGCTAACTGTGTTAGAGATGTCATACATCAAACTAGAAGGGTTCTTTTCTTTTCTTTTTGTACTTGGAATTGAATTTAGAGCCTTCACACTGAGCTATATTAGCTGAATCTTTTTTGCACCTTTTATACTGAGGCAGGGTCTCCTTAAGTCACTAAACCCTCCAGGCTTGGCTTGAACTTGCAGTCTTCCTGCTGCCCTGGCCTCCTAGAATTACCACCCACCCCAGCTGAGAAAGTCTTCTCTGTTGTGATGAGAAGACAAAGAAAAAACTTTACAGTGAACAAGATAGCCATCTTCAAATACTTGTATCATCGAAGAAAGACAGAGTAGTCTATCAAAAGAGAGACCTAAATCTGATGAATGGAAGCTACTAAGAAATAGATATCATATCAATATAGGATTTGAATAGGAGTTTGGTATATATTAAACTTAAGTTCCAAAATTTGTGTGTGTATGTGTGTGTGAGAGAGAGAGCTAGCCAACAAAGACAACTAGGCACCCATAAAAGATGTCACACAAAAGATTTCTGCATTGTGTTGAAAGTCAAAGACCACCTCTAAAGGCCCATTTGGTGAATCATTTACAGTAATTATTAATTAAGTGTCCACATACTTAAAGCTTTAAGGGCTTTAGACAGTCCACCTTTGTTCAGCTACAGGTTGACTGTCAGAACCTGCTGCAAACAGAATGATCTTACATTAAAAATGCTAACGTAATTTACACTTAAGCCAATAAAAAGTGAAGCAGTTCTTCTTTAACTTAAAGAAAGCAAAATGGTTTTTTATCTTAATTAAAAATCTGATGTGAGGCCAGGGGTGCTGGTACACACCTATGAAACCAGTCACTCAAAAGACTGAGACAAGAGAGTCATATATTTGAGGCTAGCATAGGTAGTTTAACTAGACTTGTTCTCAAGAATCTTGGCCAGGTAGATAGCTCACTGTTTTAGGCACTTGCCTGGCAAGTGCAAAGTAGGGGGCTCAAGCTCTAGTACCACATGCAGTGCTAGGCCCGTGCTGAGCCAGCCCCTGAAACCAGGCATGGTGGCACATGCATGTAATCCCACTGCTAGAAATTTTCAGATCAATTACTCTTACTTTACAGTGTATCTGACCTAGTACAAATGTCACTATACCTACTCCAAAAAAGTTTCTGATAGGTAACAGGGATTCTCAATAGCTCTTAATAAAATGTAACATTTATTTTCCAGGAAAATGAATGAGATATAAAGCTGATACCTGTTCGCGTACTCCTTGATGATTTGATATATGCTAATCTTAATTGTTTCATTTTCAAATCGACTGTTGCTCTTGTCTTTGTAGATCCGGAATTCTGCTGCTGTCACTGCTTCTCCATGAGGAATCTGAGTCAGATCAAACCTAAATTCTTTGTAATGCCTTCTCTGGTGAGAGAAATCCCTGTCTCTTTCAACTGAAAAAGAAAGAAGAAAGAAGATAAAATTAGCCCTCCTAAAATATAAAAGTTAATGGTAAACTTTCCACCTTTGGAAATGAAAACAAACAAGTAGGCTTGTATAAAACTGGGAAAATACTAAAACTGGGAAAACAGTAAAGCCACAGATTTATATGTCTTTCAAGTTTCAGGAAATTCCACAAACTGAAAGTCTTTCGTTCAAAGGCAGCATAACCTCCATGGCTCTATGCAAATTCCAGGGTGCTGAATGGAAAGGGCATCCAAAACTATTCTGAACAGTGAAGGTTGTGAAGTGACTTTCAGCCTGCTGCAAGTGCTGGAATGCAGAAGGCCTCACAGAAATCAGGGTAGTGTTCTGGAGACTTCTAGGGCTCCAGGGAAGGTCACTGGTCAAAGTCAGCAAAGCATAGGAGGGATACTAAGAGGGAGGAAGGACTCGCATGTGTAGGAGGTGTGTGTTTACGGCAAAGGTCAAGTCAAAAAATTATTTTATATTTTAATTTTTAATTCCAGTTCATTATCTGACTTAGAAAAGTAAATATATGAATATTTATGGAGTACTCTGTGATATTTTGATCTATACAGACATTAGATTATTTACCTCAGGTTAAAGATGTTTATCTCCTCAGACAGGCATCCTTTCTTTACCCCGAACATGTTCAGAATAATTTCTTCAGATCCTTTTAGATATACAGCACATAATTGCTATCTCCAGTCACCATCTATGCAACAAGCTGCAAAACTTCTTGCTCCTATCTAACTACAGTTACTATCCAAAAGAATTATTTCTAAAATGTCCCCAGAAATATTTTTTTCCTTTCAGCAATTGAAATACTCCCCCTCTCACTCCATTTTCTCTTACTTTGAGGCACTTTTACAAATGATTTCTCCTGGTGCAACATAAAGTCTTCTAAAGGCCTCTATCTCTTCTTACTCAGAATTAAGAAGGAAGCCTAGTTTCCCTATTAGAAGCCTTCCTAAAAAACTAAAAAGTTTTCCCTCATGAGAATATTAAGAAATACTGAGAGACTGAAGACAGCAAACGTCAGATGTAATGTATCCATCTGGCTTTGTAAGACAGTTCACTTTGGTATGGGCCACATCTAGCAGGCACCAAAAGCTTTCCTACTGAGCTGTGTATGCGAAGCCTCGTTTTCAAAAGTGGATGGATCATCACTTTATTAATGATGAAATCCATTGTTATTGGTATATTTCTCAAAATCTTAATTATTTGAGATAACATGCAAGAATGTTATACTTATATCTCTTGTAACTTGCTATGTTCATGGTATTGAACAATTTCAGCCAACCACTTTTTTATGGCATGTTTTGCCAGTAAAATTAGTTCCAAGTCATAAAATTGGATTTACAAGTTTCAAAGATTAGTTTGAAAATACTTCTAGAAGATTAACTGAACTTACATGAGCAGGGCCATAAATATACGGAAAGCTTGGAGGCCTAAGCCAGAGCAGGACTTAAGAGCGAAGAAGAGCAGTCACAGCCACTCACAAGTGCCTTCTGCAGCTCAGCCCAGGCTCTGTGTTCTAGGACCCATGAGTGCCACCTCTGAGGAAATCCAGGGGCAAAGAAACAAACAACTCCTGCCTTTCTACTCCAAGACAATCAGTGGCCTGTTTTTCCTTGAAGAGACAATTTAGGGGCCGGCCAAATAGCTCAGTGGATTAAAGTGCCTGCAAACAAGTGCTGGGACCAGGGTTTCGATACCCAGCCTGCCATGTGGCCCCACCCCTGGGGCGCGCTGAGACAGCGTTTGAGATTGGGCGTGGTGGCACATGCCTGTAATCCCAGCTCTTGGGAGGCTGTATACAGGAGAATTACTATGAGTCCGATCTAGCAGTAAGACCCTGAACACCCTGCAGACTTGTCCCTAAAATGCAAAAAAAAAGAAAAAGAAAAAGAAAAGATAATTTAGGAGAACAAGGAGCCCACACCCACTTACATCGCTGATGCCCAATTTGCACACAGAAATGAGCCCTGCAGGGTGGTTTGCACGGTTTCTTAGGCTGTCAGACTTGTCCTACACCACCTTACTTGCCTCATTATGACCTGCTTGGTAAAGTGTCCATGTCCTGTTCTTAGAGAGGTTTGTTTCTGGGATTCTAATTCTTTCCTAAAGAAGGACGGCCACCCCATGTTCAGGATGGGACTTACGTCCACCACTCGCTCCTCCCCATCAACAGTTCTCTGGCAGTAATGCAGTGAGTGCTTCTTCATTCTCTTTGTGTCTGCTCCGCTGAGCCGCATCCAGGGGCAAGTACGCAGTGTCCATGGACTAACCTGCCGGTCTGGACACTGGAGCTCGCTGCAACTTTTGTTCCCAGAAAAATAAATGTAGCTACTATATGTACTTAATTTCTTATTCTAAATTGTGTGAAATAAATGGTAATATGTAAAAGTACTTAAGAGACATTTATATGCCAAGCATTTTGCCATTTTATTAGTATGAGCATATTGCCTTGCATAGGCCCCACTACTGAAAGCAAAGGAACTAAAGGGTACGAGGGAATCAAACATTTACCAAACTACTGGAATCCAGATATTTGATCTAGGCTTTAAAATGCCAGGATCTTTATTTCTACTCACATGGCATTGCTTTGTCATGTTTTATTAATAGAGATCTGAAGACTTCATTCACAAGTCTAGTATTCATGTGTTCTGAAAATAAATTGGTTTAAGGCTCATTTGGCAGATGAACGAGAAATCACCACACATGAAATAACATGAAGTCCTTGTCTCCTCCCACTGAGCTGAATGTCCCCTGCACTGTGTGGACATGTTCATGTGTCTGTCCAGGTGACAGTGTCTCAGGGCAAGAGGTCTTACACATTATGCTATATGCTCCAAATAGGAATTCAGAAGTATCTTTTCTCTATTCTGAAAGACAGTATTCAAAATTGTGTGTGACAGCATCATTATTTAATATTTCATTAACAATTATTTTTATGTTTGAAATTTAAACAAAAAACTTCCAAACTGGTAGTGTTAGACACAAAGGCAAAAACACTGGTTGCTTGGGATCTGATCTAAAATGTGCACCTGCAGAATTCAGACAAATATTGAATTCATGTTATGTAAAATCATCTGCTGCTCTAGAATCCCTTGTGCGACGTTAGTGTAATAAAGTGGAAAGCTAGAATTTCTGTGGTTATTACAAAATTTCAGTTTTCTAATCCAGGCTATTTAATTTAAACCCTTGAGGGGACAAATTCTCAAAGAGTTTAATAAAATCTTGTATTGAATAAACCACACAAAATAAAGTTGTGTCTCAGATTTGTCTAGCGACTCAAATCCCTATATCCTTTTGCTTTGAATCATAATTGCAGCAATAAATTTCACAGGACGTGTGTTGGAGTGACAACGGAATAAGTCTTGTATTCACACAGCTTTGCTTCCTAATGGTCCTCACAAATATCCTACAAGATAATTTCAATGACCTCAAAGAATGATGCTAAGTAGGTAGCAAACGTAATTACCTTGATTTCAAACCAAAACATGAGGCAGCAACAGCCGGGCAGTAACAAACATCAGTCTCCTGAATCTCATTAGCCGGCTTTGCTCTATGGCCCCACTTTCTGCTGAGGATCCTGCACTCAGAGTTGTGGTAGCTCATTTTTAGCATATTTAAACGTTGTATTGCAGAGTTACACAAAACAGCGAAAAATAGGGTATAAAATAAGGATTTGATCAACGATGCATAATGAGGAGCTCATGCAACACGTTCCAGAAAGGTCTAATCACTGAATGGAAGTCCGACCATGCAGATGGATCGATCGCGTCTCACCTGCTCCTCCCCTCGCCTCACCCTGCCTCACGCCTGTCACTGACAGCGGAGCAGCGCGCTTTGGATCATTCTGCGACAGACTGTGTTTAGTTCTTACAGCCCTGCTCATGCCCATCAGTGCTATAGTTTGCCCAGAAGCCCAAAACTTTAGTCTTGTTACATAAAAGACTTCAGCCCAGGGCCACGATTTCAAGTCGCAAAACCGTAGCACAGCATGTCAATTGTGTGTTTCTCTGAGTGTAGTTTTCTTGCCTTCCTACTCCAACTGTTTCTAGGGCAAGTTAGTCAGCACTTTTATTCTCTCCAGAGGATAATTCCCTTTCATATGTTTTTATAGAAATAGAGTTATTCTTCTTCCAAGCTTTTGTGGATTCTTATAAATTATATCTCTTGCCATTTTTAAGCAAGCTAAATGTGCTTTTTCTATTCTTATCAAAGATTTCCATCATTTCTTACCTAAGGAAGTTTTCATGAGTAAATAATTGATTGTATTCTTATTTGAATTAATCTTATATAATATATATGTTTGAATATATAATGTATGTAACATCATATGTTTACTACAACTATAATCTGAAATAAAGCTTAAAATTTTGAAATCATTATAACGTTTTTTGCTGGATCCTCCATATTCCCATTGTTTCACTGGACCCAAGCCCAAAATCAAAACACCCAAAGTTAATGAAGCAACTCACACACATAATATTCCTCACAGGCAAACTTTTCAGGAATTGTGACAGTTTAGGCATATGACAGCATTCTGTTTCTGCATAATTTACCATGCATTGCTGCAACTGTAAATGGCTTGAAAAATTTAAAGATGGACAATTAAATAAGAAAATGCCAGGAAATTGTACTATTGTTGGGTTTTATATTCACACTTTTAAATATTGTCCTTTAAATTTACTTATGTATATGCTATTTAGTTGAATACACACATATTTAGTACATAGGAATATACATATACACACATGTATGAATACATAGAAATATGTACATATTTAGTACCTACAAATATGCTTATATACTTGTGAATATATACATATTAGCACACTTGAATATGCATATGTACATATGAGTATCTACATATATATCTAGTACATATGAATATACATATATACATACGGTATATTACTATATACATATTTACTTCATACAAATATAAATATGTACACATGAATATATGCATATTTAG